GCTATTCACAGTAACACTAGACAAGCTTTCATTGCCTTGTGCCAAGTGTTGGGATGTAAAGCAGGTGCAGATTACAAATGGATCTCTTTCTGGATATTAGATAAGGGCTTATTTGTCCTCAGGAATCAGAAGGTCCAGGGAATGAGAGGACTTCAAAATTGTATCACATTCTTTCTTTACACTGATGTGCCTTTTATGCTTCTTAAAGATAGAAGTGCACTTGATGACTTTTGGGGGTCTGTATTCTCAGTTCATCTAAAACAGGGCTGTTTCATCCCCAGGGCTCTGCTGGTACAGCTCCAGCCTAGCTTGGAGGACCAGCATTAGGAGAAGTCTGTATAAATCCCTTCCTGTCCCCTCTGCTAAAGACTGCTACTTGGTACCAGTAGCTATATTTAATGCAGTAGTGGGGGAAAGGAGAGAAGCAGGAGAGAGTTTGTAACAGAAATATGTATCATGCATGTGCTGCCACTGACACAAACCAGTAATTAACTTCACTGACAGTTTCTGTAGATGCAAGTTAAAAAAGTTGTAATTTTTTCTGGACTAAGCTGGTTTGTTGGTCTCTTCCAGCTTGTGTGTTTTGGTTTTGATCAGCAGAACTCATTAACGCAAGCTTCCAGGGGCATAGCCAGCCTTCATTTGAAAGGTGCCACAATTTCTTAATTGAGTTTTATTCATAGTATTGATGGAATCTTAAAATGTTTAACCATTTTTGACATTATTATGGTTCATAATACAGGACTGTTACAGTAAACAGAAAAAAAAAGTCTTTTTGGTATAGTCAGATTTGTTAGAAATAAGCTCAAAGTCAATGCATATTGGGAATCAGCATTTGGTATCAGTGGAGACTAGCATATGATGAGGTTTGTTTTACTTTTAAACAGTAATGTTTAATTTGAAGCAGTGTGGATATTTTGAGCATTTTGAAAGTTCAATGTTAGCCCTGGTTTTGCTGTTATCCCAGGACTTACCATTTTTGGTAAGGTTTCTTTTCCATCAAAGACTAAAGGGTGGAAGAGGATGTTTCAGTGTTTTAGTTCTTCTTGGAGGGCTTGTTGCTGCCTCCAGGCCCTGCATGCTCTTTCAAGTAACAGGGGGGAGCTGCTGCTGAGTGTGGCTATGAATGAATGCAGAGCTTTCATCTTTGCTCCCAAGAATGTAGTGACTCAATTTCTGCTAAGATTTCCTGAAAGGCAGTGATGTGCCTTGCTGTATTGGATGGTATATTTCTTATTGCTACCCAAAATCCTGTAATAATGTCAGTGCTTAGTAACAGTTATGATGAAGAAAGAGCCTATAATAAGACATGGCTTCAAAATGATAGTGCTAAATTCCCACGCTATGTGCCTACCACAGGGACCTGTCCTGGGAGGCCCTGGCTGCCCTCCTTTACCACTGATGACAAGGATGGTGTCCAGGACCTCTCAGTGAAAACTAGTAGTGGAAGATTTACATCATATTTTGTTATGATCTTTTCGCTCTCTCCATACATATGAGCAGGATTTCCCATGGGTATAGTAATGCAAAAACCTTCATGAGAGAAACACAAATGGTCATTACAGTTCCCAGAACACAACACATTGTAAGGTCAGTGGTGTAGAGTGATGACAGCAGACCAAGACACCATTGATGTGTTAATGCTTGGTTTTGTAAGGAGTTTTTCACCTATTTTGTCAGAAATTTTCCAGAATGCTTTAGAATTTGCAGAAGAAATTGCTGTAAATTATTTAGGAATAAAACTATCACTTCTTTAAGTAGTATTTACTTACTAAGTAGTATTTACTTTAAGTAGTATTTGCTTACTAAGACCTGCCTGTGTTGTTATCAGATACAACTTGGGTAGGCGTGTGCCCCTCATGAGACTAAACATTATCATCACAGGATTGTACTGAGCAGTTAGCAGTAATGTAGCCCAAGTAAACCTCTTGCTCCCTGCCAGCAGGAGTTGCTACTGTAATCTGTCGTAAGATCTCTGAGAAAAGTCCTTCTCCTCTTATGACTCAGAGACCTTACAGTAGTGCCCAGGCAGTGGCTGTAATTAAGCATATTCATAACTGCTTCTGTTTTGACTGCATTCAGACAAGCCCTATTGATTGAGTTTACCACAAAATGTTTAGCTGTGTATTTGAGGAGGATGGGAGTTGGGAAGGCAAATTAATTTAATATTTAGTCTAACACACTAGTTCATTTTTTATACCCTTTTTGCCTTTTGGCAGCTGCCTATTTTTTCTGCTTATTACCTATGAGAGTGGGGGATGGTGGTACCAGCTTTTTCCTGTTCTCCATGCATCTGCCAGCAGGAGATGCTGTAATCCATAATGAGGTTTCCCTGCCCCCATCTTTTCTGAGACCAAGCCTGTTAAATTGGAACAAAGCCTTGCTCAGTTCAAGAATTAGGAAACTCAAAAGCCATGTGTTTCACTGCCCTATTTGCAGACCCAGACTGAATAATCTTTACTTGTAGTACAGTATAAAATTTTGACTGCACTCCTGTTGGTTAGCACATGTCACTCTTCCCCAGCGCTGGTGTTTCTTTCCTCACACTTAGGATAGTAACAGTAATAGTTTGATTGTTTGAAAACATCATAAGAATGTAATTTAATTTACTGCAGCCTTCATTTAAAGGGCTCTAATTCTCTTCCTTTTTTTCCTCTGATACGAATTTTGCTGTGTTTCATGTATTGCTGTTTCACCCTTGGTTTTCCAAGATGTTGAGAGGTTGGTTTCCAGCACCAGTGGTGTACTCCATTCATTAATAGTGCAGACTGTGCCAAAGAGTAGGGATTCTCCCTGGATCTTCTTAGCCTTGCCAAAATACAAGACTCAATTGAGAGAGCCTTGTTAAAGATTCACTTTCCGTGTGCAGAGGAATCTGCAGGAGAATTGGAAAGGAATGCTATATTGTAACAGATACAGAATAATGTAATGCAGAGCTTCATTCTACCACGTATACCTATGACAAGTGGTACATGAGTACAGTTGTACTGCCATTAAAATTAATTATGCTAATAAAATGGTACTGCCATTAAAATTAATTATGCTAATCAGGGAGAGAAGCACTTTGCCCCGAGGAATTATGTTTAGTTTGCAGATACAAACATAGTCAGTGTGCTTCTCAAAATTAAACTACAACCTGGAAACAGTTAACAGCTAGGAATTTGCCTAAGCAGCTATTCTAGTATCAAGACAGACCTCCTGGGAGAATTAAACTTTTATACTCTAGTTACTTATGACAAATATTTCCCACTAATTTAAGCAAGCAGTGTCGTCACCAGCTAATGTGCAATATATCTCTCAACAAAGAAGCTGTTGGATGCTGCTTTGATTTTCTTGTAAGTAATCACAGACCAAATCCAGATGTGGTTACCTGGGGGGGCTGACACTGCACATTTTAGACTTGCACAGCCCTTGCGATTTGTGCTCTTGCAAAAAATATTTATGACCTCTCTTAATTTTCTTTACAATTTTGGAGGCTATTATTTGTAACCTCAGGATACAATGCAGATTATCACATCTGAGCTTCACACAGTTTTCTATTAACAGCCTCTGCAAGGATTAGAGGTCTGTGAAACTTTGTTAATGAAACCCAAAACCTTCAAAAATCATGTTGCAAAGCCCCAGACTTAGATCAGTTTCACACATGGCCATGAACTTTTAAGGGAATCTGGGATACATTTCAAGGAAGTTGCTGTTGTGTTTCACTTGATGTAGGCTGGTATGTTATTGAAACTGGAGAATACTAGTTGGTTTTATCTGAAGCTTAGAATTTTCCATAGGGTTTTACATGAGAGTTTTGGGGCTGAAGTAATTCTAGGTTAAGAACCCAACTACAACACACCAGTAAATCTAGTTTACATGACTGCTGGGGAGTAAAAAAGCTGTGTACTGTCACTGGTACAAAGGTGGAGAAATTGAAAAAGGGTATTTGGCTGAGTGGCTTCTTAAAATCGGCCAGTCATCAAAGGAAATAGATTTTTAGTCCCACTAGGATTTCACAGTGTGATTGATTTACACTGAATCCAAATTAACTGGCCATTGATAATATGGTCCTGAGTAAGGAGAATCTATTTCTGGCTTAGAGAAGGTATTGTTGTGGATAGCAGTGCTCCTAATTAGTGGTGGATTTGGTCCATGTTTTCTTGTGCTCTGAGAAGAAATGTCCAAACTCTGGATTTGTTGCAAGGTTTGGGATTAGGTATGGTTGGCTCTAAGAGGAGTGCCAATTTAATTGGGCATCTCAGAGTCTTTCTTAGGAAGGGAGATCTGAGCCCAGCCTAAGTGGAGAAGTTAAAAGTCACACTGCAGTACATCATAAAGCCAAATTGTGGCTAATTCTAGACCAGCATTTGCTTTTCCAGTTCTTAGTGAAGTTCTTTTTTATACCACTGAAACTGAGGGAGAAAAGGAAAAAAAAAAAGTATCTAAGTTCACAAAGATAAAAAACATTTAGGCAAGGTTTATTTTCTGTCAAATTAGCCCTTTATAAAGGGAATTTCTCGGGGGGGGGGGGGGTTCTTTGTCAAAAGAATTAAAAAATGAAAATAAAAAAGCCTGGTAAAGGGCTTAAGATATATTTCCTATAGACACAGCCTCCACTCTAGCGGTGGTGTTTGAGGGTCAGTCTTCGTCCTGGCTTTGCAGAGATTCTCTCTATTTTTTTCTTTCACTGAAATTCCATAGACAGTAATTAAGGAACTGGAGGCCAGCAAGAGGTCAGCAAGCCTTCGTCAGTGAAAACAGGGATTGTTTGCCATGTACAACACTCCCTTTTTTCCTTGTAGTGAATAGAAGATTTGCTTAGAGCTGATGACTTATGCCTTTCTTGCAAGTTATGCAGCTAGCGAGTAACTGGGGGAATCAATCAGTGAGCAGAAAACAGCTAATTGAGTCCAGCATCACGCTTTTTTTCTTCTTTACATATTCAGCACTGGAATCAGAGCCAGTTTGGTGTCTGATAATGTAACTCCAGAGAAGAGGCATTTTGTGTGCAGGATTCAGAGCAAATACAATACTTAAGAAGAAGTGTCTGCTCCTAAATTTTAGGGTTACGAAGCTGACAGCGGTCGAGGACTCGGGGGAAAATACTCGAAACTGAGCTTTAGGCCTATAAATGCCGAAGCTGGTAAGTCACTGAGCATGTAGCGTGATGTGGAGAGGATGTGCCTCCCGTTTCAGAAAGGGAGAAAGAGAAAAAAAGGCTTTTGTGGTTATTCTTAGGCACAGCACAGCATGCATAGCTCTTCTCAGTTCTCCTTTTCCTTTCCTTGGGCTTTTAAGTTCTTTTCTGTTCAGTTTTCCTGTCTCTGACTTTATCCAGGCATCTTTAATAAAAAAAAATTTAAAAGTTAGAATGGTTGGGCTTTTTTGGCAGATGTAAAACCTGTTAGAAAGAAGAAAGGACACGTGTAGCCACGTCTCCTAAAGGGAACAGCAAAGTCTCTTTGCATTTACTGTAGAGCTTGTAGTTCTGAGGTGAGCTAGCCAGGGCTGGGGAATGTGATATGCCCATGAGTTTGAATGTGGGGTTTTGCCCCACTTTGCTGAACAAGAATTATCTGATAGCAAAGAAGAATTGCAGCTTGAGCTTAATCAGATACTGAGAGATTTCCTTGTTTCTTAGATAGATTTCCTAGAGATTTCAGTTTAGGACTGAACTATTAGTGGGCATAAAGTGAATTGTAAAATTTTAACATGTCTCTAAATGACTTCACACAGCTCATGTAAAAGTCATGTATGGGATTTTTTAAGGAGCTGAAGCAAATTAATCGGTTATGATGGTTATAACTGGATGTTGTGCTAGCACACATTTTTACTGGGTCATGACTAGCAGTCTTTGCCTATCTTGTGTTTTTTAAGGGCTGCTGCTGTAACCCTGAAGTGTTTCCAAACATAGTCCCGTTGAAAGCTAGCTACTTACTTCTGGTTTACATTTTGCCAATTAATTCCAAGTACTCCAATAAATGTTATTTTTCTCTGTGTGTGTTTTTGAAGCACCAATTCAAAGAGGGAGGTTAAGATTGTTATTTTTGTGGCATGTGAAATGGGCTGGAAGTTAGAGAGCAGCAGAGCAAGGCGTGTGCGCTGCCTCCAGAGCAGGCAGCAGCAAAGAGCCTGCGTGAGAAAAGTGGGAGAGAAAGCAAGGAGTGTGCCAGGAGCAGAACTGTAGAGAGCTCCTTGAACGCCAAAGTGCTAATTTCCTATTTGTTCCTGACTTTGATCTTACATACGAGATGATGCAAAGCATGGCCTTTCGAAGTGCACAAGTAGGGAAGAGAGTAGGGAAGAGTTTTCCAAGCTGAAGAGATGCTAGAGGTGGCAGAAGGGATTGAATTCTCCTGGGTTTGAGAGCATCTTCATGGGTTTGTGGCCACATTTGTTAGTGACAAAAGGATGGGCCTTGGCCTCTCTGTTGTTTTCCAGCCATGTGGTACGTGGTGGCTGCAGTCCTCTGCATGCAGTTCTTGATATTTCCAGATGCTGTTAATTTAGTCCCTGTTTCCCTGCAGTCCTTCGCGCGTTTGTGCAGCCAAGCTCTCCAAGCTGGCAGGTTTCCTTACCGTGAGAGCATTGCAGATGCAGGGATGCACTTGCTCCAAGCAGCACAGGGAAAGGCAGCTCCGCCCAGCCAGCCCTGCCAAAGGGGTCCCGCAGGCTTCGCCAGGTCCTCGGCAGCCCAGCCGAGCCCTGTGCTCTCCCTCAACCTAGCGCGACTTTTGTGCATGGGCTTTGGCCAATTTGTTATGGTTTAAGGCTGTGGAGCCAGCTGTCTGCAATCTGATGTAATGTTGCCCTGGAAACCAGAAATGAAACACTTAAGCATTCACCACAGAATTACTACATACAGCATTAGCCAAAGTAATTAAAAGTTGAGCCATATGGGCTTTCGGATGGAAAAATTTGGAGTGGAGGAGGTGGAAGTTAAGTTGTTCCTATTTGCAGTACTGCAAATCCATTTGTTTTCCCCTTGAGGGCACAGGGAGAGGCCTGCCCTGGCTGTGTGCAGAGGGATGGGGAGATGGAGGGACCCTGCCTGTTTTACCAGCACATTAATGATGCTGAGGCTTGGCCTGATGGGACAGCCATGTGCCGGGGCCACCTTGGCAGAGGGGGTGCACCATGGACTCCTCCAGTGCCGGAGAGCCTTTGGCTGAGCCTCTTGCTGACACATCACCCCCTCTTTAACAGACCATGTCTACCCTTCTGCAGTGCTGCAGCACACTGAAGTGCCTGAGAAGGGGGTGAGATGGGTCTGGCATCTGGCTATATCCCAGCCCCATGCCAAGGCCTGGCTGCTAGAGCTGTCTGGCCCACCACACTTTGGGGAGGTTGGGGTGATTTTCCCATCAGAAGTCAGGGACAGATACCAGTAAAAGCAATTTGGTTACCATGAAAGAGGGGAGGATAAAGTGAGTCGAGGAAGTCAAAGCATCAAAGTTCAGTGATTTCCAAATATGTCAGTTAGGGCCTGAATGTTTTACATTTCTGTTTTCTGTTTAGTATTAACCGTAAAAGAAAGCATTGCTTGAGCTGGAAAAAAAATCTGTTTCCCATGTGCCAAAGTGGAAACTTTTGATAATTTCAAGGCCTTTCTTAACAAAATCGTTTCAAAAACAGGAAGCAAGTCAGAAGTAACCCTTTTTGAAAATTCTTTCACTTTGAAAGAATCAGCATTACTTGACTAGAAAGTTTGCTGAGCAACACCACTGATGTAGTCACTGACATCTTTAGGACTTTTTGCATAAACTTATTGCCATCCTTTTACTTTAAACCATCCTTTTTCTTTGCAGAAGATTTCTCTGTCACATGCTGCCTGGTATGATAGGAAATAGGCTGCTGAAGGGAGACTGACTTGGTTTTTAATCGACCCAAAAAATGCAAGCTGTTCTCACCTATCTGGGCCAAGCAGGGGTAATAGGCAGGATCTGTTGCCACCTCTGGAGGACCTCAGCTCAAAGGGTACCAGGAGTCCTGAAGTGTCAGGGAAAAGCAGCTGGCACTTGACTACGATAGGGCTTTATTTATTTTGAAGTACAGTGGGCACCCTCTGTACCACCCGTTTGGGTTTGGTGTCAGTACCTTGCGCTGAGCCTGTTTTGATGCTTGTTTTCGCAGTGGTAGTTGTGAGTGCAAATGTCAGACATCGTAAAAGCTTTTCTTGTCATTATTGAGTCTTCATAACCCTGAGGGGGCACAGCTCTTTATCAGATGCCAGTGGTGCAAAAGTAGGACTAGTTGTTTATTTGATGAAATCCTGGGCAGGAGGACCAGGTATGAGCTGTTCTTAGACTTAGAGAGCTCACAGTTTTACAAACAGTAGTCTTGCAAACCAAGGCTGTATGTAAAGTAATGATGGAAAGCAATGCCTTAGAGTAATTGCATTTAAAATAAACATATCTTGAGTGCAGAATATGCATGATGGTTGCTTGCCAGGATGTACTTAATGGTCCAAGAAATCTTGACTGAACTTCTTGATTACAGTCAATAATCCATTTGTCATCTTATCTAAATATGTCTCTCTTGTTTGATGTGTCACCAAGTTGTCCCAGGCCTAATCTCTGAATTAATGCTCATCTTGTTGCTTAATTTATGTTGATATAAACAAGCCTGGTGTTCCTCCTTACAGCTCTGTTTTTCCCAAAGGAAGATTATTAAATACCTAGCCAGTTTGTACCCATAATAAATGCATTCGTGCGGTTCTTGGATGGCAGAATGGCAATTCCTACTGCCATATGTGGTCCCTTTGGTGTTCCTTCTTGTGTTGGAGTAACTCAAAGTTTGAGCAAAATTGGCAATTGGCAGTGCCCTTGCAGAAAGTTGCTGAAGTTGGCTCTAGTATGCTTCTGGGGGCATTGTGAGGTGTGTGGCTGGGAGGTAGGTTTCAGAGCTGTCCTGGCTCTCTCAGGCACTATTTGTGCCTTTGAAAGTGTACCCGTGCAACTGCTAATTGGTGTCCTGCCCTATGGCATCTACCATTATTACCACATCCTGGTATTTTAGTGCACTAGAAAAGCAGAAAGCATTTTTATATTTGGCGTGTTCTATTCATCCCCCAGAGAAGCAGCAAGCATTTTTGCTGGGAAGTGGAGAGGGTGGCTTTTTCTTTCTATTTTCTTGGCTTGCATCTGTTTGGGATTTTTTATTGGTTTTTTAAAGTTTAATTAAGGAGAAGGAGAAAGAAGGATGAGTGCACTGTGGAAACCCAGATTGCTGTACCAACAGGAAGTTGCATGAGGGTTTTTAGAGCTGACCATTAGGAATGTGGCGAATTGACTGTAAGGTAAGGTATATGCTCCATACCGTACTCCAGCTGGAGCCTGTGCTGTGTGCAGGAATGTGCAGCAGTGCAGGGTGCCAGGGCTGTCCTGGCCAAGCTGGAGAGCCCTGCTGGCCTCCTCTCCCCTTCCCTGCCCTTCCCCCCACCGCCTTCCACATTCTGAACTGATTAAAACAGAGGAAGTAGCACGTTGAACATTGGATCTGGCTCGAAAATTGAAGTCGTCTTCTCGTTCACAAGGAATGGATTGTTTCAGCTGGTTGTGTCACTGCTGCTGGAGAGAAGGGAATTTTTTTTTGTCTCTGTAATGTTTGATACTTGAGGGAAAACAGCTGGAACTGAGTATACTGGATCAGATGCAAAACTAAACGGGATGCTGGGGAATATGGACTGCACTGTATATCTGAAAAGGTCAGAGTTTTCCCTTGGTCAGTGCTGGAGGAATGCTCTGTCCATCTTAATTCCAGCCTCGAGAGCCTTCAGGAGGAGTGTAGGGAGCAGGGAGGAGGAAGGGAATATTTTGTAGCTGTGGCAGTTCGTCACTGAGGCAGATGAGGTCTCCTCCTTCCTTTTCTTCCCGTCCCTTTCTTGTGCTGCTGGTTTTGATTTTCTGGGAAGACTCAGGGGGAAAAAGAGAAGTCGTCAATGACAGAGCTTCAGTTTGGAGAAGCTGTTTATAACCAGGTTTAAACAGCAAGTTGTGAGATGCCAGACAGACCAGGGACTGACCTAAACCACAGGAGCATAACTGGTATGGTAAGAAGAGCCCTGGGAAAGAGCCCTGCCTGAAACGTACTGAGAGAGGACGTGGAAGTAGTTATTACACAATGCATGTGAAGACAGACAAGGGCAGGAAGGATCTTACGTTGCACAGATTTAGAAATCAAAATGGTATGTCATGCTTTCAGAAAAGAAAAAGGGAAAAAAAAAGAAAACAAGAAAGCCCTCAGTAATTTAAATGTTTCAGTCTGACCTGAGCTGAAAATATAACACCAGTTACAGAGCACACAATGCAGCAGATGAGCTGGGTTAACTTGACTTGAAGGAGCAAGCTGTGGAACTACTACTTTATTAACATTCCCTTTGTTTCTTTGCCAGTCAAGAGAACAATCCGATGATGAAACAGAGGAGTCGGTGAAGTTTAAGAGATTGCACAAGCTGGTGAATTCTACTCGCAGAGTCAGGAAGAAACTCATAAGAGTTGAAGAAATGAAAAAACCCAGCACTGAAGGTAAAAAGCAGCACGCATATGGTTAAAGCCATGGATGTGAATACATGTTTCTGTTGAGAAGGGACAGAAAGTGGAGGGTTGGGGGAGGGAAGGGTGGAGTGTTCATAAGGGACTGTAGGAATGACTGCCTTGTCTATTGTGCATGCCTTAAGTAATTGCATTTTGAGACTGTAGAAGGAGGAAAGTGACAGCCTAGAATGTGGTTACTGGTGATCTGGTATTCCCAGAGCAGTGCTGGAGAGCCCCTCATTAAGAGATTAGAATTTGGCTTATGTTTTATGCCCCATGCTGGGGAGGGAATGAGTCTAGGAGCAATCCCAGCAGGCTGCCCCACAAGTTCAGCAAGGACGTAAGTAGAGCCACCACCACGCTGCTCCCTCCTTTGAGGTCTGGGATGGCACAGAGGTGAAGCACTCACTCGTTTTGGGAGGGTAGCAGCTGGTCATGCACTTGCACCACATGGCATCATCCTGTGGCAAAAATGCAGAAACTCTATCAGACGTTCTTTGTGGGATAGTGACTGCCTCGTGTAACATTCACTTCTACTTCTGGGGGAGCCTGCCTGCAGTTTGGCTTCTGAATGAGCCCTGCTTCCAACAGAGAGGGGGAGAGAGGGAGGAGGAGGAAGGTGGGGAAAGGGAAGCAGAGTTCAGCCCCTAGGAAAACCATGCTGCAGAATTAACTCTAGAAGACCTGGATCCGTGTGTGAGCACTCAGATTAATGAAGCCTGATCCTCAGGAGCCTCTCTGCACAGCCTTGCTTGAGCCCTCTCTGGAATTGTGGGCACCTCTCTGGGTTGGTGGCCTTCCCAGCATCATATCCTGGTTCCTCTCAGCTCCACCATGAGCTGAGCAGTATTGTGATTCCTTCCTAGTGCATTTAAGGAGAACATGTGCATCTTGTATATGTGGCAGGAAGCTGCTGGCAGATTTGTGATCTAGCCTGTCACTCTCCTATGTTATGATGTTGTTACTGGCTGGCATGACAGGCATGGCCAGTCTAGAGCTCCGGTATGGGCAACTGTCTTATCTGAAAAGAGTGAGCATAAAGCTGGGTTACCTTGGAGGCAAAACTGTGCGTTTTGAGATGGGACAAACAAAACAGGACTATTTTTTCCCTGCTCTGGAGAAAGAAGGACCCAAGAGAAGGCTGTCCTACTTACTCCTTCTCTCCCCAGGAGTCTGGGAAAAGCTGCAGGGAGCAGTCAGCAAGAGGTTCCAGGGGTGGGAGCAGCTGCAGGAGCAGGCAGCCCAGGGCTGCTGGACATGCAGATACCCTCCTGTACTTCGACCAGACTTTCCCTTCAGCATATTAAATATTTCTCTCTTATAGTGCTTCACCACTTTATTGCTTTTTCTCCCTCAGTCCTTCACTTAAGTGTCCTAGTTCCTTCCAGTCTGGTTTTTTTTTCACTGAGTTTTTCCACCCCTGCCCCCTGCAGAAATATCACTGAATTAACAATTGTATCAAAAAAAAAAAAAAAAACAGCTTGGTCTCCTTCCTTCTTTCTCCATCTCCTGCGTGTCTACTCTAACTCTTGGCTTTTCTGAATAAATTATCTGTAACTCTAAGTTTGTACTTTATCTACCACTCTGGAATTTTTTTGTAGATTGCCTTTTGGGAAACTCACAATTGCAAAACCAATTATTGCTAAATAACAACATGGATTACCTCTGCATAATTTGTATATAACTAGAAGGCCCCTTAAGTAGCCAAGTCTACATTAGCAGTAGAAATCTATGACTTTTCTTTCAGGAAATTCCACACCCAAGTTTTCATAAGGCAAATTAAAATTGCTTCATAAATGTCGTCCATTCCAATTTCTCATAATGTAGGTCTGTATTCCCATTTGGATATGTCAGAGGGCTCTTCAAGATCACAAAAAGTACAGTGGTCAGATTCACGGATTACTGTCTGGTCTTCCAAGTTACCTGCAGTTCACTGTATTGGTTCCTGAGCTGTTGGTTGCTGTTCTCTGAATCTGTTTTCTGAATGTGAAGTAATGTGAAATCTTAGGTGGCTAGGTTTTTGTGGAGTTGGCTGTAATATTTGATTGAGCAACATCAGTAATATTTAATTAATTTCATTAATGTTCAACAGCCTTTAACAAAGTGTAAGGGTAGACTTGATTTGAAAGCTGATATGCAGTTTCCTAGAAGAAAGATTTTTCATAATCCTCCTCAAAAATTTCTTCACAAAGAACAGCATGGCCAAATTTCTTTTATAAATCCCTGTAGGTTTTAAAGAAAAGCACACTAGTCTCAGATTCTTCTCCCACATTTCTATTACTGACTCTTGATATCACACTGAATGTACATCTGGCTGATCTGATACTAGAATATGCCAGTATCTGAATCCATGTGTATCTTGTCTTAGTCTGCTCCTAGCAAGCTAAATAACTGAAGCTTCCTAATTCCTGGGCACTATTCTTATACAGCACTCAAAAACACATCACATCTACATCTGTGTCATTATGGCTTTGTGTCATGGACTCGCTCCAAATAACATCTGTTATAGTGTTGACACACAATGCATACTTTACAAGCTGTTTAAAAACATATTTACTCAGTGGACTAAAATTGTTTATCAGCACATATTCAGTCCCAGGAGAATGTCTATTTTCTGTTCAAATTGAGAAGGTGGGGGGGAGAGGATGGAGCAGGGAGAAGAGCAAGTAAGACAGTCCAGGGAAAGTGGTGTCAAAACCAGACTCCAATCTACAGACCTACCCCAACAGATTTCTCAAGAGTGAAAGTTTCATGTCAGATGTGATCCACTGTCCCTTCAACGTCACAGTGAGGTTTATCTTGGTAAAATAGCATCTTGGGTTTCAACAAATAGATGTCAAATATGTTTTGGCAACAGAGTGAACTGAAAGTGAGACAGGAATCCTATACAGGGCAGCTAATCTTTCATCATGAAAGGTGTCCCCTGTTATTGAATGTATTGAATTTAGTAAATCATAGGTATTTTGGTAATGCTTCAAATTTAGCTCTGCTGTAAGGCTGTGGAAGCAATCAAAGATGAAGGCAAAGTTAGGTCATGCAAGAAATTTATTTTGGCAAGAAATAAACACAGTCACATTTCTCTGTGTGTTTCTAATACATACCTATGTGAAATTTGTCAGGCAGACAGAGGAACATGTGTGCCTTTGTTTGAGTCTTTCCCTGCATCTCATATCTGAGCCTGTACTTGGTTCAAAAGGAAACACCAGGGAAAAGTTTCTTAAATAATAAATGTGAAAAGAAATTGCAATTTCAAGTCCTTTATTCTCTTCACTTCAAAAAGGAAACCTGGCTGTCTGCCCATCTCCAGTACTTGTGTTGCAAAATATTTCTGTGAAATATTTTCTGGACAAGTTTGGTGAAAACCAAGTGTTTCTGTCATTACCAGAATACTGTTTAAATTGGACTACATGCAATTTGACCTACTTCTTTTTCTTTGCATCTGTTTAAATAAATTCTGTGTGATTAAAACTGGTGCCTCTTCCCCCACTGAAACCCAGAACCTTAAATTTCATCCTGAAACTCAGCTCCATAACCTTCTGGGGAAAATACTGCTTTCTGTAGCAGCAGCAGCACTGGATATTGGAAAACTGGACCTAAGAGATACTTGTTTGGATTTTAATATTCAGGTATACTTCTGACCTATTGTAATCTCACTGGAGCTGAGCATCATATTCAAGTATCAGAAGAAAAATAAGAGAAACAGATCCCAATTGTAGCATTCAAGGGGTTCTCAGTGAGAGCATCTGTGGTCTTACTTAGCTGCAGATGAGAGAAACTTAAAATAACCATGAGTTTACTTACAGGATGTTGTTGTCTGTCTGTTGTTAACTCATCCCAGAACACTTACTTCACAAATGGAATGAACTGCTTCAGGTTTATCCACTCAAAATAACTTCTGAGCTCCTTACATCAGGAAGAGTTTGTTCCATTTTAAGTGGGTGACATCTTAAATAAATGCAGTAAGACCTTACAGGGAAACATCTTAGGGAATTATGAAAAATGACATGTGTTGTGCTTCTTTTTTCCTCTGTAGGTGTGGAAGAGCATTCCCTTGACAACACTCCTGTACTGGATGACAGATCGGCACTTTACTCTGGAGTTCACAAGAAGCCATTCTACTTTGACAGCTCCTGTGAAAAGCAGCCAGAGGATGACTTGGACTCACTTACTACTTCTCCCTCATCCAGCAGTCTGGATACATGGGGAGCTAACAGGAAGCTGGTGAAGACCTTCAGCAAAACTGATAGCCGTGGCCTTATCAAGCCTCCCAAGAAACTTGGGACATTTTTCTCTTACCCAGAAGAGGAGAAGTCCCAGAAAGTTTGCCGCTCCTTGACAGATGGGGAAATGAAGAAGAGCCTTGGCTCGCTGAGCCATGGGGTAAGTACAGAAAGCATTTGCTTTTATGACAGCAACAGGCACAAGCACCATCTTCTGGTGTCCCTGGAGGAGATTCAGAGTGTAAGGAAGCAGATCCGATTGAAGAAAACGGATACTAACTATTCCTGTTCCAGAGCTTTTCTTTGCCAGCGCCCTGCTAGGAAAGGAGCATTCCCTGCACCTTGCGACCTACAATTACTGCGGCACAAAACGAAAGGGGGTGGAGGTTGTGGCTTCCCAAACAGAAGGCTACGAGGGCGCACTTCTGTCAGCGAGTTCAATATTACCTATGTGGTGGAGAGAAGCCTGTACAGTCACCTCAACCTCTCACAGCTGGTGCGTCCCGTTACTGACAGGACCCTGAGCAAGGCCGACAAACAGGACCTGAGGAGATGCCTGCTGGAGGAGGATGAGGAGGCCAAGAGGAAGTGGGCTGCCACAGTGGATCGCTGTACTAAAAGGGTTCTCTTGAGAATCCACCAAAAGTCTGTGAGTCAAAGAGTTGCCATGAAGGTGGTCTTCCAGTTTCTGTGAGGTTGCAGTGAACACTTTCTGCTTTATACTTTTAACTAAAATTCAGTGCTTCTGCTTTCCTTGCCAGTAGAAACTCTTAAGCCCCATAATGCAGCTGTAAGGGAAGAGCTTGATAGAATCTCGTCAGAGAAGAGTTTTGTTGAGTCTGCAGTTTCTATGTGGACAGAGTAACTCAATGAGAGAGAGCAAATATGACAAAATGCTGCTTTTTAAATTCACCTAATTTAGAAATAGAGATCACTGGTGAACAGAGGAGGTTTGAGATGCTATAAACATGGTCTTTGTGATGCTTTGGGAGTTGGTATTCTCTTAAAGGGATACTGAGAGATAGAACACAATTTTCAGAGGGTTAGAGCATTGTTACTCTGCTGTGTTCTATTTCTCTTCTGCTGTCATTGCCTTATATTGCCCCCCCTGCTTCTCAGATTGCATCTCGTCAGTTCACCCACCCATTCTGTATTCTCTTTTGCACACACAGCTGCAGAAAGACAGGGAGTTTTACATTAAGTGGTCACTGCTCTCCTGCTTACTGCTCACCACCACAAGAAGTGTCCCTTCTTCTCTGTCCTTCTGCTCCTTCTTTCTAACATGGGATGAAGGTGGCACTTTCTCTCAGGGCATTGTGGAAAGGGAACAAGGGATGGACAGGAAATTGTGCTGTACAATGGGAAATTAAGTGATTTAAGCACTCCAGAGAGATCCAAACCTACTTCCTGATTATGTGACCCAGTTTTGACAGTTCTATTAACCATGATTCTGAGTTTCCTAGGACCTTGCTTTTGGTGCCAGCCAGATGTCCAAGGTTGAGCCAGATAGTCTGTTGCCTAGTTGACAATGTTTCCTGCTTCAGTGAGTGGAAACAGCAGTGCATCCATAACATTAAGCAAGATATTCCAGTGAACAATGCAGTAGAAACAACTTTTCCTCTTGAGTAACAGATATATTTTTTGAGAGGTCTCTGCTTCATTTCTTCAGGTATGAGGTATTCTCGATGTAAGAGTAATAGCCTTGGCCTCCTTGAATAACCTCTACAAGGTGACCAAGACTTCATGGTTCACTTTTTGCTCTTGAGCCACAAAATACAGATTGTTATTTTTTTTCCTACACGATACCACAAACGTTCTCTCTTGGCAGCTTTACTATTTCTTCTGCATTGACTGCTTGCTCTGCCCTTCACAGGATACTGTTTATTGTCACATACATTGTACTTGGAAGACATTGTTTTCCCATAAGGATATTACAATGATAAGAGAAACCTTACTTATCCTTCTGTGGGTTGAACAAGAGGGTTATCTTGGACAAAAACATCTTGTTATAGTAATTTCATTATGAAAATCATCTGGACTGACCTTTGCTTATTCACAGAGGTACAGTCAGAGAAGAAATCGGTAGTATTTTATTGTTGTTGAGGAACTCCTCAGTCAGTTGCTTCTCCAGCCTTGTTTGGATCAGTAAATGTTGGAGAGATGCTGCTGTTACTAACTTTTTCAGTACACTTCTTCCTGAAAGTGCAAATAGCTGGCAAACTTCAACTAATGCTGCTTCTTCTTCCTAGAAACACTTAATGTTTGTTTGCTGCAACCTCAGGGAAATTGCAATGCCCATGTATTCAGTGGAATTGGTCACTCTGTCTTGCCTTGCCATTCATTTTTGTCATTTATATTTGTTTCAGTGACCTGGACATGCATGAAATTTTCAAATTGCATCCAGTTTTTCTTTTCTCCCAAAATGATAATACTTTTGATTGCATGGCCATTCCATTGAATATCCCTCTCCTCATCCACAGACCTTTTGTTTGGTGCAGTATTGTCAGGGTTGCTACTCGAATGGAAGTGAAACTTTAAATGGGAAGTCCATAGTGAAATAATAAGCATCCTTTATATGGTACATTTATTTAGAAGCTTTTAACCAACAGTCATTTTGCTTTCTGAGAAGACTTCTTTAGGAAAAGCTCTGGCTGGTTTGACTGACAGGTTTGCTCAGAGCAGTTGCAGATGTCCTCTCTTCATTTCTGGGATTACCATACGCTGTAGGATTAGTTATAATGGTCCTTCACAGAGGACCAAATTACTTTTAGCTAAACATTCTGTGCTGTAGAAACTGATCTTATTATTTGTGGTTGGTCTCAAATGTTTTCCAAAAACAATTTTTAAAACCTGTGCCATAGTCACATTGCTTTCTGGAAAAAACAAACTGTGACAAATTCTACATCACAGTACACTTGAATGTGTCTGGGACCCAGGCAAAGCTGGCTCTGAGTTCTAGTAGAGTTGTGGTGGGTGCAAAGACTGCCATCCAAGCATGTTGAGTGTAAGCATCATCCAACCTAGAAGCTAGAATAGAAAACTTTTTAAAAGCTATTAACATGTATGCTGATTAGTGGTGAACAGGGCAGGAAGAATGTTTACTTTAGTAGAACTAATTGTTGTAATTGTTTATTAAGTGGCACAGTTTATAGAACTTGCTTCTTCCAAATAGAGAAAGCAGGCTGGTAGTTCTCAGGTGGTGGGTCTTCACTGACTCACAATCCTTTGTAGGTCTGATCCAATGCCTAGCTGATTCTTAAAGTGCCTTTGAAGTTACTCTGTTGGGTAGTTCAGGCCCTAAGCACTTATTGTTCACAGGTGTTTTTCTTCTGCCTCCTGTTTGTCACAAGTCTAACTCTGAAGGGAATACTTAGTTACCTGCCTGTCTTCAAACCCACACTCAGAGCCCACAGTTGGAGAGGTGCAAGTAAATTTTAACTGCCATACCTTCATTTCCCTGGATCGCCCTGTGAGACTTCTGGCAGGACCAGTTGCTTGACTACTGTGCAGCTGTTTTTTCATTAGTCAGGTTTTATTATCTTTTGGATTGCAAAGCAGGAGCTGGAAGTACCTAATCTGGAGTCAGGCCTTGCTGAGTCTCTGGGGACACAGTGCTAGGCTGTTTTTTCCCTCCTCTTACCAAGGGCTTGCCCTACAAGGCTTCCAGCAGTTCCCTGTATTTCAGTGGAAATGTAGCCTATGCAGCTATTCCCAGAAGGTAGGTTATTCAATGCTTTAAAAAAATTGGTGTTTCTCTGTTTCCATGCTACTGTGGACTTACTTATGAAGGCAGATGGGAGTGCCGAGGTGGAGTTGCCAGCACCTTGGAAAACTTGATGCATAAGATCAACAGTTTCCTAAGTCTTTTTCCTTTTTAAAAAGAAGAGTAGGCAATAGATGACTCAACAGCAGCAGATCTTAGGCCAAGGTCTCTGGAAAAGACAAGTGACTCAAATTGCTTTACAACAGATGTCTTGATTTATAATCCCTCATCCCTTTGTTTGTTTGTTTGTTTCCATTTTTGCAGACATTTGTGTTTCAACTGGTGTTCTCCAAATCACAGATGTTCTGAGTGAGCTAATCGTTGTGATAAAACTTTATCCATCCTTGTTTCTTTGCAGAGAACCTGTAGCTTTGGAGGTTTTGACTTGACAAATCGTTCCCTTCATATTGGAAACAGTTCTGACCAAATGGTGAGTTTAAGAAGGTGCAGACTTGAAATAGCATAAAATGAAATGTGCAGTAGAGTTATAATAGACTGAAGTGCAATTTAGGGCTGTAATAATAGTTTGGGGATCCAAGAAAGCAGAGTATCTTTGTTAACCTCAAACTTCCTTAGCTTTGAGAATAACATACCCACCCATAGCCATGTGTGTATGAGTATTTTTATACCATATGTGTAAAGAGGCAGGAACAAGTGATCAAAGCGCAGATCTGGGGGCACATCTGTGGGCTATTCTTACGTCTGACTTCCTCAGAACATTACCCAAGGCAAAACATATGATTGCTTTACTTTCTTGGTAAAAATATTTACTGCTTGGAATGATGAGGCAAACTTTAATTCACTGAAGATCTGCAAGTTACTTGCATGGAAGTCTTTATGTAAGAGATTTATTATTTGTTTTCTCATTGTATCTAAGCTGTGGAGTAGACCAGGGTCCCATTGTGCTGGGTGCTGTGCAGTTGATCTTGGAACATTCTTCTGTTTAAAAAAACCTCAACATCTCTCCTGAGAATTAATTCCATTTCATGCTACTCATGTTGATCCCAGTGTTGCTGTTGGTCAGCCTGCAGCCAAAAATAACAGAACAGAAATGAGATAGAACATTGTATCAAATAAAATTCCCAACATATTTTTTCCTTTTGACCATATATGTTTTTCTTTTCTGTTTCAACATTGGATCTGATAACTTCTCTGTCCACTTAAATCAAGTCTAAATTGTATAACATTTTGAATGCCAGTATTATTATTTTATGTCAGCTGGTATTTTTGGACTTGGTTTGGGGTTTTTTTAACATCATAAAATACCCATAAATTGGCTAAATCTGTAGGTGGTTATTTTAGTCATCAATTTTTAACTCAATAAAAAAGTTAACCTCTGAACTTAGTGTTTATCTTTAAATGTGAATACTTATTTTTTTCAGATTGGTTTAATATAGGAAAGTGTGAAGTCTAGATGGTACATTTGTTCCTAAGAGCATCAGTAGTGAGAGAGGTGCAGTGGACTAGAATAATGTATGCAGTTCAAAGGGTTTTTTTCTTGAAAACATTTAAGTCCATTAAGTGGAGGGGGGTTTTTTGCAAAAAGATAAGACAAAGAGTTGTCCTTAAATTCTGGTAAAAGACCAAAATTACCAAAGAAGTTGTAATCAGAAACAACTTGTAAAGAGAAAACTATTGTATTGTCAGAAACGAAGTATCAGATGAATTTCAGATAAACCTTTTGTGAGAGCATTAGTAAAGTAGGAAACATACATAAATCCAGAAAATCTTAGGGTTTGTTTTCTTCATGTGCCTAAATTGAACCAAGTCAGAGACCAAATTCAGTAGTCAATCTCTTTGGCCAGACAGATTTTGGTCCTTTTTTGTATTGTGATTTTTGGTGCATCCCTTGCAAAGGAGGGTGTTGGTAGTACCTCTAATAGAGCTGCCTTGCTGTAGTTCCTGACACAGAGCAGAGCTACAGACTGTGTTTATTGTGCTGCCTGGACAATCTGAATAAGGGCTGAATCATACAAGTTTGGGAAAATGTCAACTGATCCATGCTAAGTGTGTGCTTGTGGTGTAAGTAAATGCTTGGTACCTTAAGATGGTTTAGAAAAGGTTAAATGCATTCAAAGCAGCTGGCCTGTGTCATCTACTATGTATGGACCAGCTAATTTAGTTTGTCAGTACCCTGTTGTGTGCCTTAAGAATAGCTATGCAAGTGTAACCTACCATGGTTGATGGATTTAGTAACTTTTTTGTGGTGTTGTGTTTGGAGTTTTTTTAATAAACAATCCACAGTAAAACCACAGGGTTAACTGAATGCGTGAATGTCTGAAAATAAAAAGTCAATTTGGGTAGCCAAATATAGGTATCCATATATATAT